ACATAAGCTCAAGGTCGTTGAAGATCTTATATCCGAGCTTAATTTAGCCTTTTAACCTATCTCTTGATCTAATTAGGGCCAAAGCCATTGTAGCTTTACGATGCGATAGAATCTTTTCAGAGATTCTGCTCTGCTTAAGAACTTCCACCTCTTCTTTGTTCTCCATAGCTAAATCGTATTTATTTCCTTCACATTAACATATCTGCGCCTGACATGTCGTGGTCATTTCTCCTCGTCTGCGATTCCCACATCGTAAATCATTTTTTTTTGCATATGGCATAGGTGCATATCACCACCTGCAAATCAGCTGTTCACCTTGAATTTGGGTGTCTAACATCAGGTATAGGTATTTGAAAGCTGCAAAATTTATCACAGCAATGCAAACATGTTGACATAGAGAACATGTTTAGATTTCACATTACTGCGTAATTTTATACTTTAATGCTAGGTTTCTCAAAGGTAGAATGTGTCTAAACAATTCTTGGGCTGTTTGACACTTTGGTCTTTGCCCTTGACATCTTCTGAATTTTAGATCTGCTTCAAGCCCTTACTATAGACCACCGCCATGCTTTCTGTGCCGTGTGTTAGCGTCCTTTAAATTAACAGTAGAATTTTGTGATGGAATTGAATTTTTGTGGGTTTGTGGTTGTAGGTATTTTTTTGGGATGTAGTAGCATATTCTTACAATTGAGTCATTTATCAAATTTCTTTTTGCGAGGAAGTCCGTTCAAAAACTCTGATTGTTTGTAATTATTTGACATTATTTCTAGAATATTTCTTACCCTCCCCCCCCCCATTAAGTTGGTTTTAGGACAAAGGTCTTTTCTTCTCGCTCTCTTTCTATACGATTGAGCCGGGACCTCCCTGTTAAAAAAAGCGAGGCAGCAGTCTTTGCAGCAACTTAGCCGAGGTGTAAAAGTCTGAGCAGAATGGGATGCTGAGGCGTGGATGATTGTCAAACGAAAGTGAATGAAGTATGATGTGAGAGGGTGAGAGAATATATGTGTGAGCACTATCTCAGGTGATAGATGTACATCATAATCACTTCGAGAGATTTCCCTTTTCTCTTCCACACAACAGCCGGTCAGTTAGAGCGATCCAGACACGATCCACACATCGCTCTCGTTGCTGTGGATCGGCTGCAATCATTCATTTCACAACACAATCATCATTATCCCAGAGACCTTTCCGAAGACCGCACACAGGCACCGATTCGGCCACCCGAATCGCAACCGCGATTCGACATCGACTCTCTCCGTCGTGGTCGCGGCTGTTCATATGCAAATCTCTTAATTCAAGTTGAAACGAGGCCTTCTTCGGCACTGTCTTCCTTTTCAAAGTGTTCCATTAAACTTGCATCTTTGATTTATTGATGTCGCATAGCTTGATTTTTCAAATTTTGAATTCTAAGTACTCTTAGAATGTATTGTCTATCACCGAACAAGTGCACCAGATCAGCGAATCCGAGACTAATACGTGGAAGGATTGTCTACAAATCTAAACGGTAAGTTTATAGATGTTTGTAGAAGTGCAGGGGCAGCATTTTATGAACAAAGGCTAAGTGTGGGTAAAGCAATTCTGTATTTCTGCTTAATTTTTGAGTTTTAATACAATTATTACTGTATAGTCTTGTCACTCTACAGAAAATGTGGCTTTGGATTCTTTCTTTTTGTCGCAATTACATATATTTCCGACTTACTATCTGGTAACATATCCTGTTGCACCTTGAATGTGTACTCAAGTAAATAAAATAGGACTATAATCTCTGTTCAAGTACAAAAGCATTTATCGAAATATTTTGACTGGTAAAATCTACAATTTTTTTCTACTTCACATGTGTATCGTAACGGCCCAAGTAAACTCTTACTGCGCTACTTACGACCCTACAGTACCGCTACAGTAATCCTGCTGAAAACCTCCCAGAAATACGTTGCAAACGTAATCGTTCGCGTTTTTGTCGCACAGCTGCACGCGTTGATCCCCCCGAAAGTGTGACCACGCGGCTTTTTCTTCCGCCCACAGGAAGAGCTGGCCCGACGATGTTTCAGTGATCACATGGAGAGAAGTTTTTTTTTCTGCCGTATGGCTTTCTGGACTTTCCTTTTTTATATATTGTGGTAAATGATTGCATTCGCTAGCACTTGTTTCTTTATGCTGCGAAGCTGCACAAAAATGAATTGGCTGTCTTTTGAAGTAATTTTTGACTCTATTTTTTTTATTACGGCGCAGCAGCCTGAAGCAAGTTGCAAGTTTTGGAAGGATTTTATACTTAGATACGACAGAGTAAAAAATATACCTTCAGAATTATTTTTGGAGATTTTTTTTCCACTCATGGCTTTCTCTGCTTATTCCTACCGTTACATACATCTCTTTAACTACAACCACATCGTTTTGCCTGGCCTTCCCTCATTCTACCACTTTATTCGAAAAGTAAGAATACATGTAGATATGATTGTTATATCTGACAAAATGTTTTACAGTGTCTGTGCTAGTCAATTCTTGATTTATTACTAATAATAGTGAACCAGTAATCTCAAAGGTGCTATATTTGCGCTCGCTCGCTTCGGGATCCGCTCGGTTTCCCGCCATCTGATTATTTTTGAATGAACGTTACGATTCTTTAATTATTTGATTGATTGGGTCGGTTAAGTCTTATTACTTGAGAAAAACCGTAAAGATTTTTATATTCGTAATGTTTTGTAAAAAATAATTTTTTTCAGTTTGAAGTTACACGAAGACTTATAACTTTTTGATATATATATATATATGCCCCGTGAGGAAAAATTTTCGAATTTTTTGAAATTCTTTTCACTTATTTTTGACACTCTAGCCGTTAATGAAGAACTTATACCTCAAACTGCTTTCGTAGCTCTATGTAATGCTCCCAAATACATAAGAGTTTCGAACAGAAAAATGACTCTTTGGAGATTGACAGTCGCTATTGTAGCTTTTGGGTATTTTTACAATCGGTGGTTTATTGTGTAGTTTTTGGAACAATGTATAGTTAAAATACAATATAATTTTTGGGCTATTAAGATTTTATCACTAATTGCACGATTTATTGCAACTTTAGTTTAATTTAGAATTTTTGTGAGAATGATATAAATGATTGCTCATAGCTCCTTCCTTTTATTTGCCGAATACATGACTTAATTGAAGTTTTGGAAGTAATTCCAGAAAGACAAAAAATGTAGCAAGACTGTCGTCAAGATCCAGTGCAAAAGTGTTGTCAGACTTCCAACTATGAGACAAACAAAATTGTGAGCGTGAATGTCGATTAAATTCACGTTCCTTCTCCGCTCTACCTCGTCGTTCACCTCCACCTCTGCTGTTGTTGACAATCTTTATGGGTCAACCAATTCGGTTGGTCGTTACAATACCAGAAGTCGATTCTCATCCGAGCCGATCTGGTCTACAATGGTTGCGTAAACCAAAGTCGGATATAGCCCCTTCGGGTGTTCTCTCTCCATTATCCTCGTCTCGTCGTCGTTCTCCTCCTCCTTCTTCTGCTCCTCTTCTAACAGCATACTCGCGCGCTCTACGTGAACCTTGAAAAAGTAGCTCTTTATTTCGTTAAGCCGACCAGTTTTTCTCTAATTTCCGATGCATTCACAACAAGTCGTCTAAGAATGGTCTGGTAGTTATTGGTGGAAGACGTCTGGCAGAAAAACTTCTTTTCTTTGCTATCGAAACTTAACGATTCAGAAATATCTTTGTTTCGATTGCTTTAGTTAATCTATCGTCTGCACCCTCACCATTCTCTTTCTCATTGTCAATGTCTTTACCATACATGTCAATAGCTTACCAACTTTTGCTCGTCAAATTGAATTGACGCCTTGCAAAATGCAGTGAGCAAAATTGCTACGAGAGCTTTACTTTGAAATTTTCTTAAATGTCCTCTTCGAATTTACTACTGAAATTTTATTACCTGAAGTAATAGAGTAAAGCTCGAAGTGCTAGTTCAAACTTTTTTGTTGTCATAAAAAATGGCCAAGGTTTGCACTTTACGCTACGGAAATTGCGAATCGTTAGAGTAGTGAAACTTTTTGGTTGGTGTCGCTCAGGTTTACAATGGATGTAACCTAGTTCTAGAAGTTAATCTTCGACAGCGAGACATACTTCCCTATAATAATTATCTAAGAATTTTTCCGTATTTTCTCTGCGCTATCGAAGTACTCAAAAAACTCGAACAAGAAATGAACTGATTCTCACAAAATTTCCAGTAAAGCTTACTTTCTTTCCTGCAATCTTTACATTTTTGTCAATCTGCAACCAATCACACCAAAGGTAAACAAATGCTGATCTCCTTTTACTGTCGACCTGACAACAAGACTTAAGCATCAAACGATTTTTTCGACATCAACAATAAACATTGGCTGTTTAAATGGCATTCAGTTCGTTCGCTTGGCATTTTTTGTGCCGAAAAAAGAAGCTGCCAGATTTGTGCTTCGTAATTTGCTTCATTTCTGTTTGAAATATTGCTCATGGGATTCATTTTTTTTGGGGGGGGGGGGGTGACGATCAGAAGCTGTTTGTAAACTGAACATCTTTACTACGAAGTCTCCTTTTTGTTGATCTTACTGTGCAGGCGGAGGTGCTACAACTCGTCCGCAATTCAGACACCCTTTTTCAGTATCCACTTCGTTGTCGTCAATTGCCTAACATCTCACCAATCAAATTGTACTAGACCATAGGCTCTATACTGAAAGCTCGCAAACGAGCGCAGATGTTCAAACTACGACTGATTTGTGGCACTTATACAGTGAATTCGGAAGACGAACGATGGTACGGCAAAGAGCGGCAAATCCGATTTATTCCGCCGAAAAACACCTTGTAATGAGTGTGTGTGTGTGCGGCGAAAGTGTTTGTGTGACAGAGGGCCGATGAGCGAGACTGAATTAGCGAGAGAGAAGAGAAAGAGAGAGTAAAAAGCGTAGAGGGAGGATGACAGGATGACACAATCGAGACTCGCAATAAATCTCTATATCCGTTATGTTTAGCACCCTAAGTCGTGTGGATTCGCAACGATCACAGGAGAACCTGTTGGTTGGCGGCGGCGGTGGTGGCGGTGGCGGCAGTGGAGTGGCTGGACGACCGTCAACTGCATCGTCGTCGGCGCTGCTCTCAAAGACGGCACTCAGGTGATAAATCATGACTTTCACTACGAATGTGTTGCGATTAGCAATCGCTAATCGCGATGCGATCCAGAACATATGCGATTATCCGGTGATTGGACAAGCGTTATGAGGGCATGTTAGGGATAGGGCCAGAAGCTTCAGTGTCTAACTCTGAAGCTTCGGGCATACCTCATGCGATTTCAGTCGCGACGCGATTTGGCAATATTCCATTTTCATAACGCATCGTACGGGGTTTCTGAATGTACGGAAGATAGGACTATTATCAATCTACGGTCATACATGGTGTGCATTTTGAATCTCCCAGTATTGAAAACGAAATACTTGGCACATTGCCAGATCGCGTGGCGACTGAAATCGCGTGAGGTATGTCCACGGCCTAGAGGCCGCAAGGCGATGAAAATTTGATTCAGAACGTACTCAGTGCCTACCGTACCAGTACCAAATCCGCTAATCGCATACAAGCTGTCCCTTAAATTTAACATGTATTGATTTATTGATGTATGCGGACACTTTCATAGAATATGGCAATGTTACTGTTGGAATTCTTGCGATTCTTGTGATCTTTTGATTGTCGTTATCCATGGAGTGGAAACTCATCTGTAATAATGACTATGATGGTCGCAATGGAGTTACTGTTTTGCGTGAAAGCGAGAAAAATAAAATTAGCATGGGCGAAACCTTGAAGTTGTGTGTCGGTGTTCGACACAGAATTACTTTATCGAAATTGATGGTCCCTTTGGTATTTTCTTTTGTTTTCATTTTTTTGGGTTATCTGCAGCAAATGAAATAAATTTCTGGGAGTACTTCTCCTAAGAGAAGCTGATTCGAATAGAAGAATGAGAGCTTTGTTCAAAACGTGTAGGGTTTAGAAGAGCAGCCATCAATGCCTAGGCAGAAAAAATTGGCTCAATTGTTAGGATGTGGAGCTTCTTGAGTGCTATGGGCTTAGAAGACGTTCTTGCTTTTTTTGCTCTAAATTGCGCATCTCTTTTCCTAAGAGAAGCTGATTCGATTTTGTTCTTTGAATTGTTGCGCAAAAAAAATGATTTTCCTGGGATTTAGAGTGTGGGGAGTGTAGGAAGTGAAAATAACAAAAATAGTCGATGATCCACATAAAAACGTCAAATGTCATCGGATTGAGGATGAGAGACTTCACACGTTACAGCATAGTGTAATAAATCAAAGTGGAATGGCTATGAGATGTGCAACGCACTTTTTCTTTCTGCTCATGAGCAACGGAATTGCTTTTAGAATCATAAATCAAGAGTGAATGGCATTGCCTTTGTTCTTTTCCATGACTTTTACAATTTACCATCTGTTTTCCTATCAGTCTTTCAATTCTTTGCATCAAAATCTCGATGTTCTCTCAGTTATGAGTTTTTGTGAATTCCTTTTTGCAAAACTGCAAATTAGCTGTATTCCGAATCAAGGTTGAAACTAGTCGATACTCAGTCGAATCTAACTCTCATTTTTCTTTCGATTGTTATTCTTACAGTTGCATTCTTGAAGCTAACATTTTATATGTTTTTGATCAGTAAGCAAGCGTTATTTTTGTGCTGAGGGGCTGTTATCAAATGTCAAAAATCATGGACCTGCCGCGAAAGTACAAGAACATTTTACAACACTTTCAAAATAAGATTAAATGTTGTAGGCATTAGCGAAGTCTTGCTCTTAACAGGCGTTGACTTATCCTTCTGCTGAATGATTAATGAGCTTTCGGAAATTTTTCTGAATTAAATTACGTCCAAGTATACTTTTGTGCTGGCAGAAGAGCATCTTTTTTACTCAACTAAGTTTTAGAAATTAGTAGCAGCAGGCTCCGGCAGCACTCGAGTTTTTGAGTCTATCCTAAACTCAAACCGAAACTTTGCCAGTTTTGCATATATCGAAGCAAAGCATCCTCACATTTTGTCTACTAAAATAATCAATCAATTTTGAAGTAAACCTGCATATTCCCACCTCAAACTATTTGCTCCAAATTTTATTTAGCTCACAGCTATCATTCACAAAAGCCAGATAAATCTAGAATTCTCTATCGTTAGCACTTCTTAAGAATCAATTCTTTTGCAAATCTAGAAAAGTGTCGAGAAATGCGCTTGCAAGAATCAAAATTCGGGTATGGTCCAGAAAATGATTTCACGTCTTAGGGATAAAATTGAAAGTCTAGATTTCACAAACTCGAACTAAAGCGAAAACTTTATCGTTCTTGACAACTATTTCCCACTTTCACTTCTAACAATACTTGTCAATTTCCACTGCAAGAAAGTGTCTTTAAGTCCCAAGAGAGAATTTCTCACAGCTTCTCTGTGCATTTCTGCCATTGTTGCCACTCCTTTCTTTCAAAGTTTTGAGTTTTCTTATCATAGCTTCACCATTGTCGTAACATTAGTACCAAACGTGAACGTATTGTGAGACAGTGATTGTCAACAAGTTTTCCTTAAAAAGCTTCTTTTCCTTAGTTTTATGAATAATGCGATGTAGTGGATGGTTTTTATAAATGAACGTTCTTTCCAAATGACTAAATGCTTGAAGCTTTGGGCTGTATGCATTGACAAATAAAAGGCAGATTTGAGCCCGATCTACAATCATTTCGCCCCATGCTCTAGCAAAAAAAAATTTACAGATGAGCTGTGTGATTAGTTTAAATGGCGGTTTAGACGTTTTCGAATTATGGTTCATTCTTTTTTTTCCAGATCTAGTCGATCGCACGAAAGTCTTCTCAACTACAATACTACCACATCCTGTGTGATCGACCTAGGTGAGTTTTGAAGCGTTTCGTTACAACATTCTTTCTGTGACAGTTGGTGGCTGATAAATTTGAAATCCAATCAACGCAAAGGTCTCGGGTTGTAGCTGTGCGCTAGAAACGAGAGACATCGTTGGACCACTGAAACGATAGAATGTGTGGCCATTCTCAAATTTCGCGCATACACTAGGCAAATAGCAATGTAATGCCCGAACGAAACGCGTTTGCAGATCGTATCCCGAAAATTTCGATTGATTAGGCTCATCATATTGATGATGCGGGACCGGAAATAATGGCATAGAGCGACAGCACTCATGGAGGCGTCTTCTTTCCTTGGCTTGTGAGATAAAACTGGGGGTTTCTTTAAAGGAAGCATGATTAGATTTGGTGGTTGCACAGTTTTTTCAAGCGTACTTTCAGGTAACGTCCCATGTGTTATGTTGGAAAAACAAAATACACTAGCTTGAATAAAATTTTGCAGGCATTCCGAATTTTTTTTACCAAATAAAATCAATAAATCGAAATTAATTTCTCTATGTCAGTTTAATTCCAATCCTAGTTAGCGAAATTTTCAATCTAAGCGGACACAGTTTCCTTTATATTAATACGTTCTGCTCGAGAAATTCTGATTTCAGTTTCGAAGTTAAAAGAGTCTAGAAGCTGCCATAGATTTCCAAAAAATTTACCTGCGTTTTTTTTTGAGATAAGCACTTCCAGTACGTTTTCAGAAATTGAGAAGGAGCTTCTTGCATGCTAGCTAACGCGAGCACTTAGGCGGCGCTAGACAGTGGCGAAATAGTCTGTTGAATCTAGGGAGTGTGCACGCTCGTACACGCAGGAGATTTTTCATCGAAAAGGCATATAAATCGTGACTTTTTCGACGAAAACTAGGAAGTAGCTAAACTAGAAAACGTGAGTAAACCATGAGCCTCAGTTTTACCCTTCCCCTCTTTCTCGTCGGTCAGCGGAAAACCGTAAATTATTTATTGCAAAAAAAAACTGTAAATTTTGGTGTAGAATAGAACTGCTATAGCAACGTTTATTGGACAGACACACTTAATGCTTTTCTTCTTCATGCATCACTTCTTTCCATATGGTTCATAAAGCCATTTTATGTCACGAGTGCTCCGTTTGGTTGTAAATTTGAAATTATTAATTTTTTGCTCTGTCACTGATTCAAAAATGGACAGAGTATGTCTGTTATTCTTTTGCTTCGAGAAGCACTTAATGTGAACATAAAAGTTTTACTGCTAGAACATGAGGTTTTCCGGCAAAACTTGTCTATAAAATCGTAATTGATTACATCTGATAGAAAATTAATAGATTTGCTGCACAGATGGAATTAGTCCACTTCGGCATTTAGACATTTTCGTTAATAGTGATGTTATCATAACGTCCCAAAAGCTACTTTTGATTGTTCTTCCAATCAAAGACTGCAATCGAATTATTTATCAGTAGCATTCTCAGTCCTATGAAGCATTGATGTCCTCGCTACTTTACAAAGTATCCCAACATTTGATAAGTCTGTCACAGACCAAGAAATTTTAGTGTATTTGCACCTTCCGGCTTGCAGTAAGTAAAAATTCTTATAAACAGTAACAGCTACATTATTATGTCGTCCCGAAAGTTCTTGCGCACGATTTTCAAAAATTTGTAACTTTGCGCTGGTTCAACGGATTTGCTTGCCTGTAATTTTATTAGAAAGAATAAGCCTTTCGCTTTCAAATGCTTTTTTGCTAAACTTCTGGCTTACATTGAATGCGGAGATAAAAATGGAAAACTGAGACCATATGAGCTTTGACCATTCAAGACCATTTAAGACCATATGCATTTCAAATGTTCCTCAAAAATCTGATTACACCACTTAAAAAGCTCGAGAAACTTGCAAAAAGTTGTTCAAACATGCATGAAAACCCTACTGCATAATTTTCCAAATTTCTTTTGGAATTTTTCTTAATATAGGGCCTACTTCAGAAGGCGCAGCATGATGAAAGTTCCTACCGTAATTTCTACAGTAACTGAAAATCTAAATTAGAGCAAGTCCTACAAAATGGTGCATATAGATCAGCAAAAGATATTGAATCAGGAAAAATATTAACCAAACGCTATGCACATTTTGCGACTCCCACTACAACTGAGCCCCTAATTCGAGTGGAAAAGACGGTTTGCGACACATTAATCTTGACGAAACCGTTGGGAATCCGTAACTTAGTTCATTTTCTCGTGATCGGATTTTTGATATCTGAAAAGGGAAATTCACAAGGATTCGAAAAACCATCAAACGTTCAAAATTCACTTTCATTCAGAGGGGTTTTCATTAAATTACAGCGAGAGTCAGACGGGGTAATTCAATGATAACCTTTTCTATAAAGCCAGCCACTTGGGAATCATTTTGAACAATGTTATGGATTCCCTACGGCTTCGTCAAGATCATCGGAAGCCGTCTTTTCCATACTAGCACATCATTTGTGCGACCAATCGCTGACGAATCTATGCACAGAAAAATAAGTTGCTCTTAAAACGGGGAATATCTCATAGGCAAATTCACTATAGCAACACCTTGGCCCTGTCAATAAGATTTGCACAATGCAAAAACTCTGAAAATAGTACATATTCTTATTTACCTATGCAATATTACAAAAATTGGAGATACCGTGTGTTAATATTGCGCTCACTATAAATGAAAATTATTAGGTGGGTCTGAAAGTAAAAATTTGTAACTTCACGAAACTTCAAAGGATTTGCTTGCTTTTAATTTTGTTGGAAAGAAAAAGTCTTCCGCTTTCAAACGCTGTTTGGGGGAGTCTCGCTTTCACACTGAATGCAGAGGTAAAAATGGAAAAGTAAGGCCTTATAAGCTTTGACCATTTTCAGTTAGGTCGCCAAAAATCGGGGACGCTGCAGAAAAATCTGAAATCGTCAGTACTTATGTTTTTTGGCTTACCCTTTGCAATTGTGAAGAGTATTTGCTGTTTGGACGTCTCTGTGAGAAGTTGTGATTTTCGCGAAAATCGACAAATTAATTAATTTTGGCGTTTTCCATAGTAAATTCTATATTCATAACTTCTCACAGAGACGTCTAAACAGCACAAACTTTTCACGTTTGCAAAGGGTAGGCCAAAAAACATAAGTACTGACGATTTCAGATTTTTCTGCAGCGTTCCCGACTTTTGGCGACCTAAATTACAATGCTGAAAGCTTATATGGTCTTAGTTTTCCATTTTTATCTCCGCACCTAATGTGAAGCAGAAGCTCCGCAAAACAGCATTCGAAAGCGAAAGACATATTCTTTCTAATAAAATTACAGGCAAGCAAATCCGTGGAAACAGCGCAAAGTTACAAATTTTTGAAAATCGTGCGCAAGAACTTTCGGGACGACCTAATACAAGCAGTGGCGTACCCAAGATTTCCTTTCGGAGGGGGCGCGACAAAAAAATTTTTCTCATGAAGGTCCGAAAAATTTTTTATATGCTTCTTAAAACTTTCGCGGACCGATAACCCCAAAAAATCTTTGTAGGGCTAGATTGAAGTTTTAAAATTTTTTTAAAAATTATTTTTAATTATTTACAAGTATAAATAAGTTACTTGCACATTTTTATAACCCATATAAGTAACCTTAAAAAAATTTGCGACCCATTCTCGAAGGGGGGGGGCACCCCCTCGATACGCCACTAATTACAATCCTTAAGATAAAGGTTCTTTGAAAAAAAAACATGTTAAAACATCGATTTTGCTTACTACTGTTGTTTGATAATTATTCGGTGTTTGTTTGGTAGATATTTACTTTAGATAAAACAATGATGAAACTAGAATTGGCCACTTGCAACGTGTCAATTACATTGCATGATAAAAAAAACTATGTTCAAATGTTTTGCAGTAACAATAAGTCCCTCTAATGATTTCAGATTAGCTGTAACTCACTGTGGTTTTTGTGTACCAAATCATCTGCTGCAGTTTACCCAATGTTCCATCGCACAATAAAACGTAAGACTCGCAATAGTCTATGAAGCCAATGTCATGTGTTCCCATCGTTATCTTTGATGCTTAATCTGTTTGATGCGAAAGCAGATTAAGCCACGTGCTAACATCTGTACAGTTAGAATCATAATAATGATCTTTAATGCCATTTTATTTTGAATGATAATTTTTTGCGAAGAATCGGATTATCTTTAGTTGCTGTTCACACACGTCTGAGGAAATAATTTGCAAAAATAAAGAAGTCAAATGCAAGCGAATTTCGGCAAAATTTTTGAAACTTGTGCCTAATTAGGCGGGCTTTTTCGTTTTCCTTCAAACCCTTGGCAAAGACGGTCGGTAAAGGTCATGTCGTCTCATTATAATTTTTTACAAACATGAAAACTATACGATGTAAATGCTGGACTGTAGCCACACTATTCAAGTAATATATTTATAATTACATAATAAGCTCAAATGCTTCCCAATTTATATCGAGGTCTTAGTGGTTGAAATCGTATTAATGTACACCTGTAAGTACAACATACGTTTTTCATACAATTTTTGTCCAATTTTTTGCCAAATCTGGAAAGCACGCAAAGTGAACACGAGCATAAGGCAATAGGTATGAACTTGTACCCTTTGATTCAACTGGCTTGGCGTGCGGAAGGCGGAACTTCGTGACCTAGTTAAGGCTAGAACAATGATCAGAGAGCACGCGAACGACAGAGGCGCACACTGTCTTGAGGCGCGGGCGGCCTTAATCGGGTTACAAAGTCCCGCCTTCCAGGCGCCAAGCCAGTTGAATCAAAGGATAAGTTTCAGAATCAAAGACCGATTGATCCTTGCTTTAGAAACCACCTGCAATTGTTCCTAAAGGAGTACTCATTTCATGTTCTGCTCACAGTACGCATAAAATGAGTATTTAGACAGCTCTGCCGTTATTGCAGTTATACTGGCAATAATCGCGATTTGATTTTATGTCTTTTGACCTGGATTTGCCAGCCACCTGCTGATCATTTCAATTCGCAATAGACTGCAATTGTACACCATTAAAATGGTGTTAACATGAGTTTACAGGCGAGGACGCGAGATTACATCCAGTGCATCCGTCAGTGCTGGACGTGCCGAACTGCTTCCGAGTGGAGAACACCTACTACGCGTGTCGTACACCACTGGAGCGCGCGAAATGGATAGAGAAGTGAGTTTTGCACCGTCGCGTTTGTCGCTGTGTTTCAACCTCACGCTGCTTTTCGTTTTTGTTCGTTGTCGTGTCACTGAAAGCACTCACACAGAGTTCTGTTCCCATCGAACATTCGTTTGTTCACAATGCATTATTCTCTTTGCAATATGCAGCGATTTGGGTGATCGATTTGTCATCGGAAATTGACTACAGGCAACGCGAACGTTTTTCGAGATCCCACGAACATCCGCGCGCGGATGTCGCCGAAGTGCGCGGATCAGATCGCCGATCACAAATCACACCTTGCCACCATTTCCACACAAAACCCGTGCTGACCCCCCGAACTCACCCCCCACCTGGGCGCTATATCGATCGATCTCCACCCTCAGACGGGGCTAATGGGCTGTTGCGCACTGTGTGGCCTCGTTCCTTCTTCGCTTGTTCCCTCGTACTTCGAGGCTCCCCAAACAGCCCGTCCGACGTGTGTGTGTGTGTGTCAGCTCTGTCTCAATTCATTTTCGTTCATTTCGTGCTGCTTCGACCAGAAGTGGACGCGGCTATGCATGTGCGATAACTAGTTTACATGATCGTGGTCTGTTGAATTTCTACACTGCAACAATACCTCTTCCTTTGCTTGAAGCAAATGTGTTTTCTACATTCTAAAAGTTCTTCTCCATCCCATCCATTACAGATCTGTTCTTTGAGTCCCTTTTTATCATCTGAACTATCACAGAAGTAAGTGCTTGATTTCCTTTTGAAAAGTTGTGAGAGCTTAATTCTGACGAATCATTTCTAACAAGCACTATCTATTTTGCAAATTACTGCTTGCGCTTTTCTCCCAAAAATAATGATTCCAAATTGACCCAATTGTTTTATTTTCCAGTGTTCAATCAAGTTTTCTTTGATACTGTCTTGCTCTTCAAATTTGAAAGAACATTTAACAAATTTTGATCCTCTGAACAAAACATGAAAATATGTAACATGAAAAAGTGAAACAATATTCTAAAATAATTTGATCAAAATGAGTGATCTTTTGATTTTTTGCACCCGTTTGTCTTTCTGATTCTAAATTATTTTAGTAGAAATCTCATATACTTGAATGGATATTCGATTCCTACATTACTGATTTTAATCCAAACTTGAAATTCTGCATGATGGAATTTGAAGAATTCGACTATTGTATATAATTTTTGTTTTTGACTTCAAGATTCAGTCCTCCAGAACTCTACTTTTCTTGCTTTATGAACTTTTTGTTCGAAGAAATTCGGTATTCGAGCACATGATTGTATTTTGATGTTTGAATGCCAGTAACTTACCATGTCAATTTTGTATCCTCTATTGGAGTTTTAAATGGTTTTTATTTCTAGTGTGGAGATTTTTCTCTGAATGACACAAAATCTTTCATCGTTGCACGAATAAGTACGAAATTATTGTGGTCTAACTTTTATTTTTTTTTTGCAGTAGAAAATCACTAGGACAAGATACACAGCGTGCTTAGTCATTTGGCTGCAAAATTTCCTTTATTGACAAGAGCTTCATTTGTACTTTCGTTACATTCAAATGCTGTGCCGACCATCTAGAACGTTCGAACCAGTTCTTGGGCCATGTTCCAGTTTTCGCCACTTTTTTAACTGTTACAAAGTTCACACGTTTTTACCCTGCATTCCATTTGCAGCGGCGGCTACACGATCTACGCTCCAAAAGTGTAAAAGTGGAAAGGGTGCCGTACGTTTTTGTCCAGAAAGTTCATCGATCGAACTGTGCGTTTTTGAACGAAGATGTACGAATTAGCGATGCTATGTGGTCATATTTCATTCTGCCTGACAGTTGCATTTTCGCAAGCCACTGGCTTGTCAGACATCGCTCATCTTCGTATCGTTTTAACAATGCTGTTTGTCAGGAGGCTGCACTGCGCTAAACTCGTAAGCGGACGTGCAGTCGGTGGATTTCATAGAATTCGATTAGGCTAAGCTTCGATCCTTTTTGGCGGACAATAACGGCTGGGCGGAGAGGGTTTCGTCAGCTTTGAATCGGTGGTCCATTCAGGTTGGCCGCTGCTTTTGCTTATAGTAACCTGCACTCAGCATTGTTCCCGGAACGCATGGTTATCACAGTGTTGCAACAATATTACGGTATACAACCCACTGAGGATGTCAAGATTTTGCACATATTTTCCCTCCAGCATTGACCATTATCTTAAGGGCCGGGCATACTTCACGCGATTTTAGTCGCGTCGCGATCTGGCAACATTCCAACTGTCTATAACTCACTGTAAACACATTTTGAATGTACAGAAGGTAGGGCATTTCATCAATCCACTCAAGTTATACACACTATGCATGTGCAGTTTGCTAGTATTGGATCTGAAGACTTCTGGCGAATTGCCAAATCGCGTCGCGACTGAAACCGCATGAAGTATGACCGGCCCTTTACGCTATTGATCTCTTAAATTGATAATAACACTTGCACAAGAGTCAGGGATTTTTGAGTTATTTATCGAAATCCCATCTTGTGAGCTAAAAAGTGAGTTTTGTATAAGCTTTGAGGTTCACGTCTTTATCATAGTAAAGTATTATGTTCTGCAGTAAACGTTCTTTTCCTGCATCCAAAAGCATAATCAAATTTGCTGCATTTACTTCTGTGAAGTGAAGCTGTTTTACTTTTTGCGACTGAAATGTTAATTCTCTTGTTCGTTATGACTTTTTTTATTCTTCAAGCACTGGCTTTTGTTTCGTTTACTAACGAATGATAAATGAAATTACATCGTCTTGTTTGGGTAAACTATGGTAGTAGTTGTCAGACGCACAATTTAGGATTGCTTAATTCTTCAAAAGAAATACAGCGTCTCAAGTATGTAGCATTTCATGAGATCCTCATCCTTATTCGCAACTTATATGGTGATACTTCATCTACGGAATGCTATTTTAATGCTCCCATAATCTATTTGCATCATTCATTCAACAAAATCTGCTTGAAAAGCGATTGCCTCAGAAATTCTCAAAATTTTCAAGCGCATACTAACCCGTGTTACTAGTAGCATGAAGCCTTGACCTAGTCCGAGTTTCATTCTTGACCTACTTCCACTTCTTAATCAAACGGCAGTCGGTATGCGCTCTCTATTTACGTGGCATAAATTGAAGGTCGTGATCTGATTTACAACCACTTTTTGCCAATAAGAAATTGCTGGCAATAAACAGAATATGTTCTGTGTCATCGCACAACATTGGGAACAAGGCTTGCCGCCCAGTGAACACACAAGCGCACTCCCTTTGGAAAATGACACGACCATAAGCGGTGTGGTGTTTGTTTGAACAGCGGCCAATATACACGTAGTACTAGTTTGGATTCATTGATTCTCTTCTTTTGTCTCCTGTTTGAGCACCTTGTGGCCGTGTTAGTTTGAAAATGGTAAGTTTAAGCGAATTTGAGAAATTCTCCCATCCTTGCCTTACCTGGAATCTTCTCGGATATGACGCCTGAAACCCATAAATCCGCGATTTTATGATCTTCACCAATTCTTTGCAATCCACCTTCCTATCTCTGACCGTCGCATCTATTCTGCTTTGGAATTCTCTTTGCATGTGTGTGTGGGCTTGGACATTGGGTAGTAGACTTTCTTGATATAGGTTTTTGTTGCGATCACAGCTGTCTGACCTTTTCTAAGATTCCCCATGATCTGGTGGCAGATGGTATAGGTGCTTTTTTTTCCACATTTATTTTTTACCTTGTCTGTTTTCCCCTTACTTGCACCAATTTCCCCAAACTACACAACTCATATCGCATCGCTTCATTTTCTTTTCTTTTCCACTTGTCCCTCTTGAAAGGTATCAATCAGAACTCGTGCACATCACTCGAATTTCAGTTCCTCCCGACAAGTTTTCTCATCACTATACCTGTTTTTAATCGCGAAAAACCATCCAAACACACTTGAAAATTTGCTCGGAAACTGAGTAAACATTAGTGCAAAGAGCATGCAAGCAATCAGGGCTCTTAAAGCAGAAATTTCTTCTTTTCTTTTTTGCTCGAGCATGCGAGGAGTATTTCTATTTTAAGAAAGTTCTTCTTCACTCTATAGGCTTTAGTTTGAATTTCACGGCGATCTTGACCAAGAATCTCTTTAACCAAGAATGTATTCTAAACATCTATTTCGTCTTTGTCTGCGCTATTTACGCGCTCGTAGCGAAGACCCCTATCGTGAGTTTTCATTAGTCGCAGCGCAGGTTTCTATGTCGTTAACATCGGAACATGTTATTTTCTCGCATCCACAATGTAAAATACGATCGTATAGCCTATCCACCGCGTTAGTGGTATTTTATTCCGGTTTTGGTGATTTTCCCTTCTATTTTTACCCCCTGCTCTCTCCGGCATAATTAATTTAGCTCTCTGGCTGCCCGTAGCGCAAATTTCGGCCACGCACTCTGCAACCAGCCTTTTCGTTCGATCCTCGGGCCATCGTCCTACTTACAGAACAGATCATATTTTATGCGTAGGCTATCGTTGAACGGCTGGCTGATGTGTGGCATCAAAACTCGTCATGGCGAAGACACTGACCGCGCGACTGCTTAAAGAGACCCTCCTTATCCTATTTGCCAAAGGGTCCGGTTCCATCGTCGCCCCGATCGCTGCCAAGCTCGCACATAAGCGGCTACATCGCTCCCTGCGAAGCACGGACCATCCCAGAATGAGAAGGCGGGTAGGGATGGAAGTGGAGAGGGGGGGGGGGGGCGTTTTGATGCGAACTCACTTGAATGAAAATGTTTTTCTCCTGTATGCACATTGTGTGCATGAGGGTGTGTGTAGAGCGTGCGTGCGTACGAACCGGTCTCTCGAATGCTTAATTCCACTCTCCTTGCTCGCGTGGTCCGTCGTCTCCTCATTTCAAGCCATCCGCGCTCGCATCATTTCTCGTAAAAACCCTGTGCACTGTCGACCTCGAGCTATCATTGGCTATCACGACCGATTTTATCACTGCGCCTGACAGTTGACATTTGTTCCAAATATCTTTGTGAAGTGCAGTGATAGTAGACGGTGGTGATTTGTTTTGCACTTTGCACGAAAAAAAATATTTGGCATCTCACTTCTTCGGTCTTCCAAAAATTTGTTCTTACTGCATATTCGATGCTTTCCTTTGGAATCTCTCATTGTTATTTGCACTCATTGGTTTCTAATCCGTTCATCGAATAACTGCTTATTCTTGATTTCTGGGTTAGTGTCTTGAAAACAGCCACAAGTTTGATGATTGAGCTAGCATACCTTCGTATAAGAATATGCTCACAAGCTTTAATTTCTTACAATTCAACTCAAATTATCTTATCCGTGTTATTAACTTGTGTTTCAAACTTTTTGGTGTCTGTAGTGGTACTGCTATTTATTGAGGCAAATTAGCTGTTATAAATTGATTTAAAGTGCTCTTGATGTGCTTCAGTTTAGCTCGTTACGGTTTTCTCATCAGTGGCTTTCTTATTCCAACTCTGCTATCAGTCTGCTGAATTTTATTGCTTTGCCGCGTTTGATGAAATCGCAGTTGTTCGATATTCTCATTCTATCAAAGCCATTTCTCTGTGATTTATTATATCTGTTCACGTTCGGTCGTCGTGTAGTAGCGTAAAGGTGCTTGGCGTTTCTTACTTTGTTTTGAGCTGTCCGTCTGCCTGCTTGGCTATGGTGAATTCCTGTTGCTGAAAGGGCTTGCGCAAGTATTTTCGATGTTGTAACAATTCTTCAAAGTATGTAGGGAAGTTTTTAGTGAATGCTGAAGAAAACGCAATGAAATTTCTGACCAATTCAAGTCTTATGCAGCGCTATGTGGCCTTCCGTATGTTTCTCATTTGCTTGTCCCGTCCGAGGTCACTCCAACAGCTCGATTAGCCATCCAGTCCTTTCCCTTCCGAGTTCTTATTGACAAACGAATCACCTCAGGTCCCAATAGATTAGTGTAAATGGCTGTTAAGTGGTCGTGTGTGTATGTACGTAGATAGGTTCGAGAAGTTGTTGTATGGTCCTGTAGTATTGGGCGCGCATTATCTGCGCGAGCACTTCTTGGTCGGTGTTAGTGGATGTTTGTTCAGTCGCCCTGCTCCTTTCGTTCCAAATGGATCATTCTTCAATATTTGCTAAATTTTACAATCTTTTCGCTGACTCAGTTCTATTCACTTACTGAGATGTTGTGGACTTCAACAGCTTTGCTCTAGGCTGTCTTTCCCAATGTTTGAAGCTGCTCACTTTTATAAGCGCGTTTTTGCAACGCAGACTTTCGAATTTGAGTAATTTCTAAGCTGTGCTTCATCGTGGTCTAACTTCCTGATTATATTGTGCATTTTGCTTCTATGCATCCATCTCTGCGCATGACGTCCTCTTTTTACGAGCTGATTGTTGTTGCACATATCTTTCTTTTGAAAATAATGATAATGTTGGTGACATTCCTCACGAAGTGCTCAGGAACACTTCTTTTGAACAGATATCAAAATCGCAGCTCTGTGTATTTTCAGGAACGCATTGCTGAATATTTAACAGCAAGGATATTTTTTTCTCGCTTCTTGTGAATTTGTATTTAGGGCTGCTTAATTACCATTTAAAAAATGCTCTGCACGGCGTACTATTCCTTTGGAATGTGATGTTTTCATTCTAACTTTAATTCCGCCGTGAATTTTGCCGAATATTGCATCTTCTTAGCTTAACTTCTTGTAAGGAATGCAGAAGAATATTTTTAATAGGAATATGATACTTTCTGTACCGCTGAGAAATACATTCTAGCTCTGCTGAGCTTTCACTTAAGCAATTTTGATAAGCCACTGCAATGCGATCCTTAGCTACTACACCCTCATCTCTCCCCACCTCCCCCGCCCCGCCATAACTCTTGTCCACCACTCCCCCTCGGAATGATCTCGATGATGCGATGTTCACAAGAACAAGAAATGTTTCGCAATTGTGCGCCGACCTCGATTAAGTTCAACGAGTCGGTGGCAAATTGGGTGAGGTAGTGGGCGAGTCTGAGATGAGCTCCGTCGCGGCGCTCCGTCCCCCTCTAATGAGAGTGCGTAGTTGGCTTACTTTCGTCAGCGACTCCGAATTTTCAAAGACTTGGCAATCGATCTGATCGTATTTGTCTGTGGGTGTTGGAAGTGGTGGTGGTGGTTGACTGTATGCGACATTTTCAAGGTCTTTTGAACGCTTTCAATGTTCACGGCGTCAATTTCGGGTACCAATCGGGCGCTTATTATCTCACACCTCGGTCATTCGCTTCGGACATAATTCATTCCTAACTACCCAGTTTGCAAAATTGTCAGATCATCCCAAATGACTAGATCAAGCTTGGAAGCCTTCAGGATAGTCCTCTTTCATCGGCTTTGTACACCTCGCACGCGGTACTTCAACCTTATTCATCGTCCTGTCCCTGGGACCACATAACTAGTTGAGGGGAGATGAATCAATTTGCAAAAGATCGGGACTTCCCATCCGAAATAGTGTGATGAGCCGTGACTGCTTGCGCTCTTTTTCGAATTCTGCATATCAATCAGTTCGTAGTCGTCCTTTTATCATCTTTTTACCAGAGGAAAACGGTAGTTGTGCCCTTTTTTTGCGTGCAGATGTTTTTCTTTTGAAATTTTGCTACTGGTTTTGTCACATTCAAACTTGCACCGCCCACAACCATCTGTTTTCGATGCAAGGACGGCTTATTGTTCGCGATATGTCTGAGTTCTACATTTCCTTTCTTTCGACCGTATCTCATTTCCGGACGATGCAAAAAGTCTACGCAAGGTTTTCGGAAATGGATGTCTCGTACCTGGAATGGTGTTTTTGTTTGCTTAGCTGTTTGTACCGTATGAAAATCAGATCCACTATTGAAATCACTTTGAGTGAGAGTACCTCTACCCCCCATTACCGAGATGAGAAAACTGATGATGGGGGTTGTGGAGAATGTTTTGATGTATCCATTTGGAAGCAGAGCAGATAGTTTCACAGTAAATTGTTTTTTTTTTGTACGATGCGTTGAAGAAGTTTCTGGAGTGTTCGGCAAAGCTCAAGAAAGTGGACATAGCTGAAATTCCGCAATCTCTCACGATACTCAACGTTCGTGGAGCTCTTGCGAGAATAGCGCCAACCTGCTGGTCATTTGTTGTTTGTGCATGGGCCCCATGGATCGGTAGTGGACGTACCACCTGGCCGTTCTGACCGTCATATTACCTAATTATGCATCCTGGCACTCACCGACAGCACAACAGCACATCGCGGGTTGCCTTTCAGAGCTTCACATAGCGCAAATGCGACCATAATACATTGTTGTTTGCCATAAGCCCCCTTGCATCTCTTTGTTCTGATGTCCATTGAGTGAATGAAGTCGTTTGGAAGTTGTACGTCTGAAAGCAAATGATGTTTTGTTTGCAGTTTACGCCGTACAATGAATCCCCGGCGTGACGCGCAACGTCGTGTCGAGAACGCTCTACAGCTATGGGTTCTTGAGGCAAAAGGAGTACCTGCTAAGAGGAGGTCGGTCTTACTTGAGGCAACCTTAGACTTCTATGTAATCTTATGTTTCCTAGGTACTACTGCGAGTTGTGCTTGGATAAGACGTTGTATGCTAGAACGTCATCAAAACCGCTCATTGACAATGTCTTCTGGGGAGAGCACTTCGATTTCACGTTGGTTTTTTCCGCTTGACATGCCCTTGAGATTCGAATATTGCTTGTTTTCAGAATGCTGCAGAAGATGGACGAAGTGTGCATTAATCTCTACCGCGAAGGTGATCCAAAGAAGAAGAAAGAGCGATCCACCTTAATTGGATACATATTGATCGCCATTGAACAACTCAGCAGCAGACACCCCGTCGAGCGATGGTCAGTAGCAATTAGCCAACACAAATCACCATCTTAGGAATCGTTTTTCACACAATCTGGTCGTGATCAATCAGTGTACGATAATGGCTTTGTCAGAGGGGGTAAAAAGCTGCTATTAAGCGACCAGCACTTCCCTGTGGCTCGCATTCGTTAGTGAAAATGCTGTACTTGCGCAACATGTGGAGCCTGACCCGAAACTAGACTTAGAGCCATCTGTTGCAGCGGAATTATTTTGAACTTGCTCCAACAATACTTCATCGGCTAAGCAACGCTGTGACAGCTGTTCGTAGTTTCTGTCGCAGTACCGTATTCTGCGCATTTGAAAGTGCGAAGTTGTTTTCGTTCTAGTCTGTGATTCCATCCCTTTAGCCTCTTTCCCTCAGTTTTAAATTAATCTAGAGTGGACGGTGTCGAAATCTCCAGAACTTTGATCTTTGGAACAGCGAAAGCTCAGTTCATACTCTTTTCCTGTCATCTCCTGCTGTGACTGTTATTTCCGTCCCTTTTGCTTTTCATTCGGCATGGCGCTGAAGCGATTTTTGGCACTTCACTTTGGCACGAGTTTGATATATGGAGAATGGGTTGTGAAATGAGAAAAAGTTGAATAATGTCCCATTCAAATGACTGTTCTTCATTTGGGCTTTCTCCAACAAATCAGCTACACAATGAAACTTCTCTCAAAATGATTCATTCTGCTGGTGTAGAAAATGAAGAAGACGGGACCACTTCGAGAAAAAGAATTTCCGCAACAATGCTTTTTATGGGTTTTTGCAGTTAGCGCTCTAGACGCTCCAAAAGCCTTTTCCTTGGGAAATAATAGGATTAGGTGTGAAGTGTTTCAACTAATTCTGCATCAACGCTAATCGTGTCAATGATTCGGCGGAAGAAGAAAGAATGAGAGTGAACTGGTTTGTAGACCATGAGGCAAACAAGGAACGTAATGTCAGTGGTAGAGCTTGCTTCTGAAACATTGTAATGCTTTAGAACTTTTGTTTGGTCAAGTTATTCATGTCAGACTTTGTAGACATAGTATTTTTACTGCAAAAGTATCTATTATTTATTTATTTATGCAAAAATCTCTCCGTATGCTTTATATACCTGATAACCGAATCTGCAGCTCCATTACCAAAAGACTCTCTATATTTGATCCTCTTGGTAACGGAGCCACTCACCCTCTCGAGTTTTTTACAGCCAATATCGTATACGCAAATATTCATAAGTAACGAAAGATGGAAAATTTCCAGAGCTTGTTCCATAAGAATCCGGGCTGCTGATTACAATTTCGCATTCGCATGAAACTTTGATACGGAAAAAAGCACAATTTGAGATTTTTCTTTTATCATATTTGAAACTCCATCGACTTCTTGGCTTATCCAACATAAGCAAAGCTAGAATACCGTCGATTATTCCGATATAGGGCTTCGTTTCGTATTGTGCTTTGTAGGGCTTCTTTTACTTGTTTTGATATTAGAATTTCCATGCAGCCAATAAAAGAGGCGATGTTTCCATATTGTTTGTGGCCGTCATATCTAATTTGGCAAAAAATGGTCTGTACTCAGCTTTTGTAGTTGCTTACTAGTCTCCTTTGCCTCTCACATTCTGGAGAATTAAATAAGGGTGATAACGCTTTATGGTAGAAAAACTCTCATCCCCTGGTTCTATATTTTTCAAAAAATACTATTGTTAGTCTTGTGGTATCGCAGCGTGTGTTGCTTGTCTCAGGTTGAAGTTTGCCTGTCAATCCGTATTTGGCCGCGCCTCACGACATCAACATGCTAAACGTCTATCTTTCGTTGCATTCGTCCTTCACTTTCATTTTTAGCATCCTCTCGATCTAACAAGTATGTGGTCGTTTTCTAAGCTGTCGTGAAAATCTCCAGGTATTTCTGTTGTTTTGAGTATTTCATAGCTCTTTCGTCCTCACACGCGCTAAAAGTGCTGGAATGCTACATTGTGCTCTAGAGGAAAATGCGGGTTCGTCGCTGTGATGAGGCCAGTCTATGGTCCTCAGCAGCTGCGGAACTCATTCGCGTTTCAACTATAGAAGACAGCAACGGCTGTTCGGCCGTATGTGTGCCTGTGCGGTCTTCGTTTTTCAAAATGGTCATGTGGACGATTCGAATCAAAACGAATTACGTGAGGGTCGCATCTGCATTCGGAAACTATTGCAGGTAGCTGTCCTCAATATAACTGGGTGGTTCCCCCAGTGAATCCGCCATTCAACTTTTAATTCCATAAATTGAACGGCAAACAATGAAAACAAATAAAATCGCAACACAGCTCGGTTGTAAAGTTGGTGTACATCCGGAGTTTTACGCACATTGAAGTCGCTTTTCCGGTTTTTATTGCTTCCGGTGACACTTCGTTGCAAAAATTTTTGTTTAAAAGTAGAAGTTGATTTTTGAGGAAGTGTACAAGACAGCTAGGCACAGCATTTGCTGACATTAGGGAGTATGTGTGGATCCATTAACAGTAGTCTAAGCTTGCTGACCTATGTACTGACCACTGATTTCAATTTTCGCTATGTAAGCTTACTTACAGCTGGACTTGAATTAATTTGATGGGAGCTTTGCTTTGCTATTTTTGTCGTTCAATCTTAACTTTTGTTGTCTTCGATGTGGCGCGCCTGGAGAATAGCGACCAATTTTGCTTGTGAATCTGTGTTAATAGAGATATATCACTAAGATCACTTAACAGACAGTGTCCTGATGACTTTAAGCAGACAGTGAGGTCGAATCCATCTGAAGCAATTGTGGGTTCCATTGATCTTTGATGTAGGGCTACACTGTAGATCTTGGTTGGTGCAGATTCTGTTAGAAACAATTTCCCAGCCATCAAAAAGCGAACAAGTTCCGTGTGAGCGTCCTAAATTCGCTATCGTTAGGTAGAAGGTGATTTAGGGGATAATGGATGGTTTTACTAAGCGTCCGCATAGCCGCTGCGTTGTATTCCATGCATCAAAAGACCATCCCTGTCAGTGAAAACAGATGATGAAGAGATGAGAAATCATGCACGTCCGCAAGCATTAATCTCCCGTCATTTTGTATCCTTCAGGTATACGGTAACGACAACGAATGAAAGTGGCAATCGGTTAGCATCAGCACTGAGCACAAAAAGTGCAAATCAGGAGCAACCTGCTGTTCGTATAAAGGTGGGAAGTTGGAAGAAACAAGAACACGAGCGGATTTTTGATTGAGATTTGAGTTGTTTAGGCTCGATGGCAAAGTATCGGCATCCTTCCGTTGCGTGCTTATGATGATTTCCTCCACTACCTCTCTTGCAACTATCTCCCACTCTGCAATCACCTTGAACCGGTTCTCACGGTCAGAGCAAAGGTAAAGTTTACACAAACCTGCTATCACCTGCCTTGCACCAACGCGTCGTATCGTTTGCAGGAAGATCTTGCTACTGCGCTCGTACGAGTTCTGCACAAACAAAAACTCGCTAATGATTTCCTTTGTGAATTGGTCATGTCAGAAGTGGACTCCCTCGGTGATTAATCGCTATCGAGTGCTTACTGCGGATTATCACGTGATATTCGATGAGCTTCCTGTTCAGATAATGACCACTTGATGTTTCGTGGAAACTCGTTGGCAACAAAGGCCATGGAGGCATATATGAAACTCATTGCAGACGAATACTTACAAGTAAGCTTGTGTTATCACTTTATTTTTGGGGATGCGATAGACAGTGAGGATGGAATGTTAGATGGGCACCTGAATTCGAGTGTCTATTCTATAGTACGCAAATTCATAAGACTTCCTGGATTTGCAAGGCCTACTGCTTTTCAACCCAGTGCTCACATCCACGCAATTTTGCAGTTCTGAGAGAATTCGCATGTTCAAAAGTCTGAAAGTTACTCAAAATCTTCCAGTTGTTGGTGACACACACTATTTGAGAAATTTAATCCAGCATCTCTAGCTACCCCATTCCTCTGATTGTGAAAAAAATCTGTTTTTAGACGGTCCTAGGAGACTTCGTGCAGAACGTGCTGTCCTCCAATGACTCGTGCGAGGTCGATCCACTAAAACTGAACGGAGCTTCGACATCAACCTTAGAGAAAAACCGAATACATCTAACAAGAATGGTCGAGCACGCTTGGGATAAGATCATCGGAAGGTACAGGATCACTGCTGTTTTAATGATAGAAAAAATTCTTGATCTTTTTATTACAGCACCGCGGCTTTCCCCATGGAGCTACGAATGGTATTCGGATCGCTTCGTGAACGACTAGAACGGCAAGGGCGCAGCTCGCTCGCTGATACCTTGATTTCCTCATCGATATTTCTGCGATATCTCTGTCCTGCAATTCTTAGCCCAAGCCTATTCAATCTGGTCAGAAAGTTTCTTTTAGTATGTAGTTCACTCCTCTCATTGTGTATTTCGCAGGTGACCGAGTATCCCAGTGGTACAACAGCTAGAAATCTGACTCTCATTGCTAAAACGCTGCAGAATCTGGCGAACTTCACAAAATTTGGCGGTAAAGAGCATTATATGGAGTTCATGAACAATTTCGTTGAAAGAGAATGGCAGCGCATGAAAGATTTCCTGCGTCGAATATCCACGGGGTAAGTTTCCCTTCTATACTCATTTCCCATCCGATCTTAGCATGATTCACTCCAGACAATCGCTGCGACCACCAACAGAGGTGATCATCGATGTTGGAAAGGATCTGAGTCTTCTGAACACCTATCTGGAGGAGGCCTGGACTCCGGAAGTGCATGAAAGAGCGAGAATCAGCGATAAACGGCTGGCCGAGCTTCGCGATATTCTGATGGATCTTCATGAGCATCATCGACGAAGTGCCGGAGCTAATGGGATCTTGCATTCGCCGATGCATCAGCAGAACAGCAGTGACTATGAAAATAGCCCACAGCAGATCTTGAGGTGAGTGATGGTCCCGAATGACTAGGCCAGATTGTCTTTAATCCCTCAAAATTCTTCATTTCTCCACGCACTTATTTTCCTTTAGACCTCGAAATGAAAATGTACCTGCCTATCGTTCAACACCGCCTACGGGTCAAGCCACGGTACTGAGCCGAAGTCGTCCTGCACCACACCTATACACCAACGATGACTATGTTTTGAGCACTGCCTTTCAAGTATGTTGGCACTAATCCCTCCAGAGACATATAAAATCTTCGTTTTTTGTGTGCGTCCAGCTCCTCAAAACTTTTTGTAGGGTTCTGGCCGACAACTGACGAGGATGAGTGATGAGACTGGCACATCAAGTAGTCATGTTAGTGAAAAGACGTCAAGCAGTGGAGATGCGAGGGATACCGACAGCGAAACAGAGACCGTAGGGGTGAGTTTGGGCATAGAAGACGGTCTGTTGCAATTTTATGACCCCAAGTTGAATGAATGCATTTTAGCTACTTTCGGAACGAACCCGTGCTCGGAAGGCACGTCGTCGTTGCGATGATTCCCCTCCAGGCAGTCAGCCCCCGTCAAGTGGCTATCACAGCAATAACCAAAGCAGGTGGGGTAACTCTATCGGCAGCGAATTTTATACATAATGAGTACTCTTCCAGCAACTCGTCGTCCTCGTCGCCTATCGATAGGACAACAGCTTTATCGATCTCAAATCCAGCTTTCAATGCTAGCTCATCAATGTACAGCAGTTCCGGATTTCCAGACATTCATCCCGGTCCATCGGGGATCGGCTACCGAAGATCAAGCCCTCCACCGTACCATTCCGAAATACATAATAGCTACATCCACCAACCTGTACGTTTACTTTTCTTTAACTCCAAAGCTAATGGGGTTACACTTTCAGGTTTACGCCTTACCACCCGACTGTGATTCGCAACATAGTAGCTTGAGCGGAAAAACTAGCCTACCGAGGTATGAATCCTCGAAATTCTATAACACTAGAGATCATCATAAATGTACATTGGAATCAGGACGAATCCAAGGGCCACGCGAAACTCGATCATGCTGCGGCCGACAGTCATAGATGTGGTTCCGGACGATTGGGACAGGTTTGTGCTGCTCATCCATACTCGAAAACTCAGCGATGGACAGGTTGCAATATGTTTGCTTGAACATTGTTTTTAGATCAACGGGTGCTCGTGAAAAGAACTGGAATGGCTTGGCCTACGACCAGCAGCAACATTTGGTCAGTTTTTCACTATTCTGAGAGATATGTGTGCCTTTTCTTGTCGTAGGTGTACAAAAGTTTTCTTCAGGAGATAATTGAACAGCAAAAGCGCAAAATTGAACGATTGATCCGAGAAAACGAGATGCTGAAGCGGCAAATGGCTGCTACTTGTCCATCCTTGTTGCAGGGCAAAGGCGAGGTATCGAACATGAAAATTTCTGCATAATAGGGTCCAAAGTCCCCATTTCTAGCGTCACAGTGATGCATCCGCTGAAAGTTTCGACTCGCTTGGATCGGAAGGATTGCGGAATGCAGTGGCGGCAACGCGATAGAAAACAACTTAGCGATAGAATCTTATAAGATACTCCGATTTCAACACGCACTTTGTCATATCTGTTGTGGGTATCGTTGTGATATGCATAATTTTCTACCAAATGTAAATTTATTTGTTTTCGAGCTTATTACCCTCTCCCCTCTCCCTACCCCACCATTAAATGTCACGCAATCCTCCTTGAGTTTTAGAATGATTAGAGATAGATTATACTTATACCTTTTCTTTGTAGGGAATTGTTAGGGTTCTATTGTATATGTGAAGTTATGTGCTAAGTAAGATGTATGTACACTATTTGCATTGACATATCAAACACTTAATTATTCACAAATTTATGCGTGGTTATGGCTCGCATGTCATAAGGCTTTACCGAAACCTTTCTTGGAAGAATAAATGTTTCTGTATTTGACCTATGTTTGGTCACTGGGGCCGCAGTACAATGTTGTATAAATAGGTTACCTAGAATTACATACCAGCATTTCACGTCACCAAATCAGAAAATACCATTGTTTTCACAGTTCAGACTTAGTTACGCTTCTTTGCAAGTCATAACAGAAAATTTGGGAACGCCCTTATTTGCGAAAGTAAGATCAGTAAAATCATTTTGAAACAGAAGATTTGCTTAGAGTACATCAAGTAGGAGTCAAAATGGAAAAGATTTTGATTTTTAAGTTTTTTTTAATGTTTATCGCATCAAAAAAAAGTGAAGTAGTGAGCATGAAGAGAGGTGGAAAAGCTCTTAGCCAAAAAATACCACGGCTCCTCTGATTCACTTCCGTATTGTTGGAGTATGCCCTATTGATGTTATTACAAGATTAACCAACCATACTTATGACAATATCTAGACTACAGTGGCGTATCCAGGATTTGGCTCGGGGGGGGGGGGGGGCGACAAAAATTCTTTTCCGATGAAGGTGCATGGCGACAGCCACGCACTCCGAAAATTTTTTTGGTATGCATCCTAAAATTTTCACGGGCCCCCGAAAAAAAATTTTTTATAAGGTTAAAATGATAAATTTTTAAAAAATATTTCAATTATTTACAAGTACAAACAAGTGGTTAAGGGTTAAGCCGGACGAAGAAGGCACAATGAAAAAAGCGAGCTCTGATTATGACAGATCCCGCACATACTTCACGCGACAGTAGTACGCGTTTGGCCAGTTACAATGCGTTTCACGGGACCAGCGCCGCATAGTGCAGTGGCACATCTGCGCGCGAGCGCTACCGTAGCCGCAGCGTGCAAGGACCATGACGCACAAAGCGGCGTAGTCCTTGTTTTAGCTACTCTTCCTGCTTGTTTCCTAGCTTATTCTCTGTCCTGCTTTCAAATTTCTGAGATTCCCCTGTCTAAAACTCTACTTCAGCAATTTCTGACATTTCTCAAAGTATCACCGCGCAAATAGAAGACGAAATGGAGGTAAGAGGTCTTTCAAAGAAGTTGTAATCTAATCATTTCATTTGAGAATTCTGAGAACAACTGGTACCCTTCCTCCTTACAGCTAAAGGTGATTATCGTAAGATGTAATCGTATATCGTGTAGGTTGAGAGAACAGTTTCAGTGAACAGCACGTTGGCGCTGTTCACTCAAACCTAAACGATATGATTATCTACGTTGAAATGCGAGTCGATATAATGAATCATGACATCCGGAATCAGCCATCCGAAGAAGTCTGAATGAAATGAAAGATGTCATGGGGAAAAACGCTCAAAGATTTGATACCTCCTTCCTTTGTTTTAAAAGAAAAATCGTATCCGGTATCAAGGCAGATCGCATACGAGCATAAAAGCAAAAAAATGACAATCTGCTGCTATAAAAACGAAGAACTACAAGATACAATGATAAAAACAAGGTCCGCGATGCTGTGCGCAGCATGGTCCCTGCACGATGCGTGTACGGTAGCGCTCGCGCATAGATGTGTGATTGCACTACGCGGCGCTGGCCCCGTCGAACGCATTGTACAAAATGCTAGCTATGGGGCTGGGACTTGGTACAGGAGTGTTAGGAAGGGGTGATTTTATAAAATGTTATTTTATCGATTTCATTCATTTTTTGGAAAATCTTGAGTTACGAGGCTGGGAGTTGGCATAGGGGGGTAAGGGTTGTAATTAAAAAAAACTATTTTATTAATTTCACCGTTGGAAATTCTTGAGCTAGGAGTTGGTATAGGGGATATGAGGGTGCTCATTATGAATGGATCGGAATATTTCAGCAAGTTTTAGATCTGGTTGCTCTAGTTATTCAATAAATCATTCGAAGATTTATTCGAAATTCGACCCCAATGTTCGAATATAATCGATATTCATTCATTCGATATTTTTAATTTTCCGATTTTAGATTCATCATTCGAGAATTCTTAAATATCGAATTTATTCGATATTCGTTTATTCGAAATTTTTCATTTTCGAATTCATTCGTTATTCATTCATTCGATGAAAAATTTCGAATTTACCCAATTATTAGGTCATTCCGAAAGTAATTTCGCTTTTTTCAAACGGACGCCACAGATGATGGAACACAGATTTCTAACAATAAGAGGTCTTGGTAACATTCGATGCAGAATTTCATTCTCTTTCTAACGGTTATGTAAGTGTTGCAAAACAGTCAATGAGCTTTCAGAAAATAACCAAAAACTGCAATCCATGCTTTTTGAGATGGTCAAGTTTTATGATTTTTTAAAATTTTCGTATCAATTCTCAGAAGAAGCTCAAGTAACGATTCGATAGAGTAAACCTTATAGAATACAGAACTGCTTTTTCCTCCTTTCCATAACTTGTCATACATTTTTAACAGAATTTTAACTGATGCTACCGATTTCCATACTTGGGCAGCTAAATCTTCGTAGAACATCAAAAGAAGAGCAGCTCGCGCACTATTCGATGCAGCATTTTTTCCTCTTTCTAACAGGTGTTTTCTGTTTCCGATTCGTTTAATTGCTGGGGATGAAATTATCATAATTCATTTCTTTAGCGAGCCCCAGGTTGTACCCGAAAAACTCGAAATTTGATATTTCGAACCCGTAAACCCTCACATGCTTTGTAAAATTTATGCTTACTCATAGTACTATCTTGGTAGTCTCAAATTCCGAAAAATCATGATGTTTGATGCGATTGTGGCTGAGGTGGGCCTGCTAAAATCCGATGGTTCTGTTAAAAAAATCTTTTAAAAAATTACGGCGAGCTACGAGAAAGAGAAAAAAGCAGTACTGTATTCTATAAGGTTTACTCTATCGAATCGTTACTTGCAATCCTTCTGAGGGTTGATATAAAAGTTTTAAAAAATCATAAAACTCGACCATCTCAAAAAGCATGGGTTGCAGGTTTTGGTTATTTTCTGAAAGCTCATTAACTGTTTTGCAACACTTAGAAAGAGAATGAAATTCTGCATCGAATGCTACCAAGATCTCTTAGAAATCTCTCTTCCATCATATGTAGCGTCCGTTTGAAAAAAGCGAAATTACTTTCGGAATGACCTTATATAATGGTCACCACATATCTGTTCCAATCTCAATCCGCGTAAAGTTCCAAACCAATATCTAAAATCACTCAGCTGCCTCAATATTCGGATCTCTGTCAAAAAAATTTTACGTTCCCGCTTGGCCATCATATAGTATACGCATGCTGTTTTTTAGAGCATACTTGCTGTATTTTGCCATGGTTGGAAATCGAGAAAACCAAAATTGACCGCTTCTATCAAGGCATCTGGATTGTTCCCAAACCTCTACAGGATATCCCAAAGTATGCAGTTTGATCTTTAGTATCTTTCTCGTTGGCAAAATTGGCTCAAAAACCGAAGCAAACCTGAAAATTCTTGCTTTAGGCCAGTCAGAGTGGCTGTTTCAAAATATGAAACTTGCATTTTACCATGATACTTCGTTCACAAGTTAAGCCAGGTATACCGTAAAACTGATTTCTCAGTGTTCCACAAAATGTCATCACACTTTATAAAAAAAACCTTTCATACTCTTTTTAGGTTAAGCAGTGAAAACAGCGTGCTTGAAAATGACCTAAGATTCGTCATTACATGCTATTTGTTCGAGCATGTGCAAATTCTCACTTTCATCGCTTCGTAAAGTCTGAAATGGTTGATGAAATTCAAATGTTTCCAGCATGTGTCACCTCTATAACGGAAAGATGTTGTATGTTCTGCTACATATACCAGAAGGCAAAAACAACTGGCATCTGGAGTTTTAACGAAGGCTCTCACCTACGGCCATGGTAACTGTACCTTTGGGCATGGCAACCGCCTGAAATACCCTCTTTCTTGACTTCTGACCCGCACATATGAGAAGCATGAATGTTTTGGAAAATGCCGCCTCAGCGATGTGTGTTGAATATTAATTGTCACGAATGTTTCAGTCTTCTGTCGAGGAAAGCACTGCTCAGACATCGGCCGTTGACAACATCTCGCAATCGATTGACTCAACTATACTGGGTTTGTTTGTTTAAGAGGTTGTTTGTGACGGTACTGCTCTACCTTTAGTCCCAATTCCGACATCATAACAAAGCTAGCTACTAGGGTCCTTGGACATTTGACAACTTGTGCCGTTACAGTATCTTGTATTCTCACACTAGATGCATTTGGTTCTGTTTTGACTGGTCTTCAAGTTCTTCTTACCACATACTTTTAAATCGTTTAGTCTGAACTGATTACTAGCTTTCAACTCTTCTTTTTTCAAGAATGGTTTCGTTTTTATAATTTTTAAGTGTGTTCTTGCAGTGAGGCTTTTGCGATTTTATCGATGTACCGGAAAGTTGCTGGGCAATAAGTTTGAACTGAGATTTTATGGACTATCGAGAAGGCATACTCAGCGGGAGGAAAATATTCTGGTGTCCAGATGGCCAAGGTAAATATTTGTTTTTCAACTTCGCATAATAAGTAAAAAATAACGGCACTAGTACTGCATTTTAACCTACAATCATACTTGTATGATGTCCCTAGCACTAGCCAGTAGTATCTTCCAAAGTTGGCTGTGTGTACGATCACTAAAGAATCTAAAATTATTCTCGAAAGAATTCAACTTACTTATCTGGGAGACTGAGAAGGGGGTGGGGAATCACCTCATTAACAGTGGAAAAAAATAGCTGTCTAATGCAAGTACTGCAAAGTTTTGCACGAACTAGCAAGGATTTTCGGAATTAGGTAGCAAGGAATGTGCCCTACTCATAAATCTCTACTCTCAGGTAATCTACCCTATTGCCCCTCACCCTCCGATCCCGACGACCACGTCTACTGTTGCCAGTTCTTCACCTTCGGTGGCGACACATACCCAAGCTGCTGTCGATTCCCGATGTACACAGGAATCGTCTACACTCTCATAATTTCCGCAGTAATACTGTTTTTATGTGAGTAACACTGAAGAGAGTTGTGCATCCACTATACTGTTCAATTTCAGTACTATTGTTTTTATATTGCTGGTTCTGGCCGACCAGCCTACTGAACGAGAGGAGGATGAGGCAAAAACGCATTAATCGGCCAAATGGCTTCTCTAGAGTAAATGACTCGTCATTGTAGCCAGACTATCACACTCCTTTTTCTTGTTCATTCACGTCTTTATTTTTTGTTCGTGCAATTTACGGATTATGTATCCTACTTGTTCCATATCTCACCTCATTATGTGTTTTTGGATGATATGACATACAGACGTATGACGATATAAAGCATCCAGTTTTGCCAAGTTTGTTTGAATGGCCCTTTGAGTAGCTTTCAATCACAACCTTTCCAGCAGATTTCGAAGTGAGAGTGAGCGATTAGTGCTTAGATCTGTAAACAATAAGCGTAATGCGATGTAAGCTGCAACTTTTAGTAACGCTGCCTTGTAGGGATGGGTGCACAAATAAAACAGTTTGTAATGTAAAAACTCCGAAGGGAGAAGGACTTTTCCACAGTTTTTAACTTATATTAGGTTGCTGCAGAAATAATGACCGTTTCAATTTCTCACTTTGATATGCTGTAAGTTTCTGAAAAATCCGCAAACCTATTCCAATGCGGCGCACATCCATATATATTCACATCACAAACGGGCAGAAAATTATGCAGTGGAAAACAAAAATAGTTTTATCTAAGACCTTGTTTTTGACGAATCATAACTCCCTTTACAGTCTGTTACTATAAATGATAAGTTGCGTATCTTGTAGCCGCAAGCCTGTAGGACAACGGAGGATGGAATGAGCTTGAAAAAAAAACAATTTGCGAAAAGAAATAAAGTAGAGATTCTTGTCACTTTTTTCAACGGCTTTTTAATGGGCCTCAAAGTCCCAAGCTATAAAATCGTCTGATTTTTTCGCGTACTGAACAGCTGAGGTTGGATTCCCTATCCTCATGCTTACGGAAACGAGCAATGCTTTGGCGATTGCCTTCTTCAAAAGAAATTGATGGGTCCTAGAATGATAGCAACGGCTACCAATGGCGCCGATATTTCAGCTTAGATAATTGCAAAGATAGTTAAGCGTGTGTAATGTAGACAATTTCTTTCAAATACAGCAGTTGAATTTCGAAGAAGCGCCTTTCATTCGCGCTTGAAATCTGCCCAAAAAAGCGAATACGATGAAATGGTTTTGGATGCGCTTATTGGAAGCTCTGTAACTTCTTAATAGATGAGACTGGAAGCCCATTTCAACCATCACTAGACAGAACATGAAAAGAGCGTCTCGATGGTATGCTTTATCTGTCCCAAAGAAGAACTTTTGGTGGAGAAAGCTATAATGAAGAAAGACTTGGAAGATTGGCAGTTATTTTTGCATCAACCTAATACTTTACTATCTGCAATAAATCTATAGCAATGGGAATTAGATGAAGTGCATCTGACTCAGTAGGTAGCACAAAATCTTGCATCTTTTGTAAGACGAGGCGCTCCCGTTTAGGAATTTATCTGCATATTATACGCGGCTTTGTTGAGAATGAACGAAGAAAATTTGTTATTTAGGGAAAATTCGGACAGTAAGGTCCGTGGAACCTTAGGTAATAGCGGACATCTCTCAGTATCCATCTCGGGGTTGTTAAAAAATTTGCTGCAGGTTAGGCACCAACTCACTATCCTTTATTGAAAAAAATTACAATCAAAGTCGCCAAACCGTTAGGGAAACAGGATGAGATAGATATTTCATTCGCGACATTATGCTAGCATGTCAGCACATCATCTTCTCATGAGAGATGTTACTTTGTGTCGTCAAATTCCGAATCGCTTTTTTTTTGAAACTAAACTAATTGACGGATAAACTTCGAAAATTTCGGATTTGGTGGACTATCCATCTCAAAAACTCCTACTTGATGCTGATTCTTATGCTTGAAACAAAGCATGTGATGAAAAGCTTAGGAGCAGGTCAAATCCACATTCAATCAATTCATTTCCTGTTGCCCTGTGAGCACCGGGAATCGATTATTTTTCTGTTCTGGTCTCAACTGAATTGTATTTCTTTTAATTCTCCAATTTTTCACTTTTCTTGTTAGATTTTAGTGAATTTGTAATTCTGTATGGGCCACGACTACGGCAGTGTGAGGAATATTTTCCAAAAATCCATTTCGACTGTCGTCGTATTCTCTTCCCGGTCCTGGACTCCAATATTCTACTTTGCGCAGTAGTTTTGGTTAAGCATTCGTTCTCTAGTTATTTCTCAATTCTTAATGCTTGGAAAAATTTCTTTTTTCCAAAAATCCATTTGCATTAAGTTAAAAGAACTGAAGTGAATGTTGCTGTTAAGCTGCCCATAAATCCTCCTTTTCTCCTCTGAATTCATGTTCCATTCTATACTGATTCCAACTGAATCAAAATGTGAACTGCAAGCTCCACATCAATTTAGTCTCAAAAGCATCCGTGTTTTTATTGCTTTCTACTATTTTCTTGATTTTATTAGTTTTGAGATGCTATAAAAGATCTCTTTTGTATCAATCTTAAACTTCTGAAGATCGGCATGATTGCCACCTTACAAAGGATTTTTGCATGACCTTACTTTGCAATGTGTAGTCGTTTTAGTCATTTTCCAACTCGATTACTGATTAAAGAGCGAAAGAAATTTTTTTCTTCCTGTATGGAACTCAAGTAAAGGAGTTCGGGTGTCGATTCAAACCTGAGAAAATCACAATCCGTCGATTCATTTCAATGTGCGCTAATGCCCTAGTTTTTTTCTTATTTTGCCCGATTACCGATAGCTGAGCAAATTCAGTTCCGTTACATTACGCAGCACTAATGTGGCCAAAGATGACAAAAATTTTCTTTTGTTGAAGATGATTTTCTTAGTAAAACTATTCCGACAATCTGTGTGACTCATTCGGTGTGCCACAGATTTACTAATCAAAGATTTTCTAAACAGCAGAACAGTAGAATCGTATAAGGTTGATGCAGAAATAATAAATGTTCCTTATTCTGAAGCGGCAGAGAAGATATGTTAATGTCTAAGATACATCATTCGAGCAAAGCAAGCTCTACGAGATAAATTTCGAACAATCGCAATAGGTTCAATCTGCGCCAAGTTTGAGAAGAAAAATTTTGAAATTTAAAAATTAGACTCCGTCTAGAAAACCTGCGAACTTCCAACTTGGTCACATATATTATACACATAAGTCATTCAAATGTTATTTGCCGTAATTTCTTCGTAAATGGAGGTTGAAAATTTAGATTAGACCAGAAATTCGAAGTATCGCCTTTTTCGGGTTTCTTACGATAAATTTGATATTTTTCTCAACTGAGAATCCAGAAGGCTAAATATTTATTGTTATATCCTCAAAGACTTGCACTATAGTTATATCGTCAAAGACTTTCTCTATAGAATATCTACAGTCGTTTTCAATACGTATTGGTTTTTTCTACCGTATGCCTCCCAGCCTCAACATGGCGTGGATTGGTGTGGATTGGTGTGGATGGGTGCGGCGCAAAGAAAAGCAAAGCGGCGCAAACCCGAAACGATGCGGCGCCTCACCAATCCATACCAATCCACACCAATCCACACCAGTCCACGTCATGTTGAGGCTAGAAGGCATACGGTAGAAAAAACCAATACGTATTGAAAACAACTGTAGCTGCAGCCGAACAACAGTGCTTGCCACACTTGTGTTGATCAACACCACTTTGACTCTGTAGTAGTTTAGAGTTTAGCGGCACCACCTCATCGATCGAAACGACTTCACAGATGTAGACTATGGTGTTTAGAAACACTATGTAGCCAAGAAACACTGCGTTGCTGCAGCCGAACAACAGTGCTTGCCACATAGTGTTACACCATTATTTTACCGTTATTTTACCAGAAATGCGACAGAGATAAATCTTTGTCTCTTGATTCTGTCAAATGTTATTAGATATCTGGTGCTTTCTCTTCCACAGATTGTGTATATTTCTTTTTAAGTGATAGAAATTTCTGTCATTTCTTGGGTGAGAGGAATTTGTACCACTTAGATAAAAACTGTTCGAATACGTGAAGCGAGGTCTTTTTTACATCACAAGCTCCTAGAGCATTTCTTGCCATGCTTTTTTAGTTTCAGTGGCACAAAAATTCTCGAACTATCCGTTTCTGAATTCCACTATCCCAGGAGTTCCCCTGAAAAGTGAGTTCCTTATTAAAGATTTCACTTTCACCAAATACCTCACCTTCCCATCTCGTACAATTTATCACATAGACGGCATAATTCTTTTTTGCAATTTTCCCCCAATCTATGGCGAGGTTTTTGAGCTTATACTCTTTCACATTACACATTGGTTGAAGAAGCAAAATGTTTTTGCAATCCTGAACTATATCGTCAAAAGTAATGCGGATTTTTTCAATATTTTTGCTGCACAGTGGCGGACCAAGGAGTAATTTGAAAAAAAGTCAGTAAAGCTTTAGAAAAAATTCTTCGGGGACGTGGCCGCCTGTTGCGCCCTTTCTTAATATTGCGGATTATAGGCCCGCTAAGATTTTGAAGATCATCCCAAATTTTTTTGGAAGGCGTGACTAACGTCAAGCCTAATCACTCAAAAAATTGTTAGGTCTGGATAATAATCTCCGTCTTGAGTTCGCCGCAATAAGTCATACACTTCTCATCCCTAAATAGATTGCAAAGTACCCTTCTAAGAGCAAAGCAAGCTCTACAAGATGACAATCTTGCTTTGGCAACAGCTCTAATCCACCTTGAGTTTCAAACCAAAGACTTAAAAGATTCAACTGCCCGAAAAATCGAGAAAATTTGTAACTCAGTCCATAAAAATGCTACAAAAATTCTAACTCGCTCACATAAACACTATTCACAAAAGACATTTATACGCGCCGTTGCCGTATTTTTTCCTCCGTTAGAAATTAAGAAAACGAAAGTTTTCGTGCATTTGCCAAAGCGATGCTGTGCTGTCCCCACATAAATAGTGTATACTGCAAACCTGTTCAGGTGTGAACGTAAACTTTCGACTTTTTGCAAGTTTTAGTTCTCGAGAAATGTCGAATATAGCTTTCCCTAGTCAGTCAGGTAGTCTAAGCTAAATATCAATTTGTCGGGAACTAAAGCCTGTAGAGGCTGAAGATTTACGTCTGTACTTCTACAGGTTTGTTGTATACATCTACTTATAATGTCGGGACGGCACAACATCACTTTGGCAAATTCAATCCTTATTACCCTATCAAAAAATCAACATTCGATACAATGTTTTTGTCATATATAGTAAGAATAGCAGTT